ACGTTCTTAGCATCGAATACAAGGTCCACAATGATGAGGACATTGAACTCTGAGCAATTTCTCTTATTTTGGGAGGTGTACATGAAACATTTTTGTCAGGTGAATACATTTTGTGTTTTGACAGTTTCTAATTGTCAATTCAAATTTCTATTTTCAAGTGTTACGGTATTACCAACTGGTACATACCTATTTCCCTACATTGTCAAAATTTATTTTATTTTTGAGAAAAAAAAGGATAAAAACGCGAATTACAAAAAATAGCATAAAAAACACGTTTCATAAGACTTAAAGCACTCATTCATTAAAAAACTCGTGGCTTCGCCACTCGTTTTTCAACTTAAATTCGTGCATTTCAAACGTGTCTTACGAAACTTGTTTTTTAATATACTATTAAGATATTTGGAAAAATGTGTTAAAATTTCCTAACTTTGATGGCCTGTATCTTTGAAGTTTGAAGACTTTTACTAATTATTTTTTACATGAATCGTCGTCATTTTCACTCTAGTGTATGTGGTTAAATTTGTTCCCCGAGTCACCGAAACACCTGTATAAGTCGTACATTACACTGGTCTACAGTGGTTGTTGCGCTAGATATAAAATTGATTTTGGATATATTTATGCTCACAATTCATGAAACTATCAATCATTTTGTAAGATTTGCTCTTGTTTTCATTAATCTTTATTTTCATTTTACATTACAAAAATCGGAAAACAAGAAACAAAATAACAGATATATTTATAATGTCAGTTTTGTTTTGAAAAATTACGATACATCGAAGTAAATAGAGAAGAAAATGTCGAAAACATATGTTATATTTCCATAAAACATCTTTTATGAGCTTTTCTTTCATAATTTTTCAGGGGACAATCTCTTTTTAAAGACCAGCAGTAATCTGCCATCATGTGACAATCCCATCGACCCTGATACGTCTCCTCCATCACTTTTAGATCCTGGTGGAACTGCTCTCCCTGTTCCTCACTATAATTTCCTAAATTATCCATATCGGAAATTTATCCAGATGATTGCGGAGATAGTGTAACTTGATACTCATATTGGCTCCTAGAGTCTGAAAGTTTGTCAGCATATTTTGTACAATTTCTTCATAATTTGGTGCTTTATGGTTACCTAGAAAATTTTCGACTACCATCACAAAACTTTTCCAAGCTTTACTTTCCGGAACAGTCATAACTTTAATAAAATCTGTGTCTTTCATCAATTGCCGTATTTGAGGACTTTCAAATATTCCACCTTTTAACTTTTGCATACTACGCTTCGAAAATTTTCTACAAATGTAATTAAAACAATCTCCTTCCTTGTCCAACGCTTTTACAAATTGCTTTATTATTGTCTCTGCTCACCAACGGCTCCCTTATTACATTGACTTTACCAACAGTTAAAGAATTTCTTACAGGCCAAACATCTTGTTCCCAATAAAGTTCCTTTGCTCTACTGTCCCACATACAAATGAAGCAAGCGTAATTCGTGTATCCACTTTGTTGACCAAGTAAAAAATTAACCATCTTCAAATGCACACAGATCAGCCATTGATGGTCCGAGTAATTAATTTTTTTTAAAACTAATTTAACATTTTCATACATATTCTTCTTCGAGTTTGGTGAATGGGCAATGGAAATTGATGCAAATTTATTTCCATTGTGCAGTAAGATGCATTTAAAATTTCTTTTACAACTGTCAATAAAAAGGCGCCACTCAGTAGGTTTGTATTCTTTTAAACTCATGTCTAGAAGCAGCTTCGCGATATCATTACAGTACACCAGTCCTTCATTTCCACTAAAAAATTGTAATAACTCACTTTCTCGCGTTCTGTATGTTGTAATTGTTACTGTTGGAGCCAATCAATTTTTTTCTTTCAATCTTGAGGCTAACATTTCTGATCCTTGTTTTGATAAATTGAGATCACCTATTAAATCACTGAGTTCATTTTGAGAAAATAACTTCGGCGTAGATGTTTCACCCTCCCATTCACCTCCTCTGGTAGACTGTCCCGATTTCTGTGAATTTGGCAACATCATTGTTTCTGAGGGCGTGCGAATTACTTTTGAAACGTAAATAGGCCGAGGGAGATTTTCACTGTATAGAACAGGACATTTTGTAGACTGTAATTCTGGATATCTCCACGTTTGATTTCGATTAAAACCTTTAGCATCTACTACGCAAAAATCAGCGAAATGATTCTTAGGCTCCATCCAGATCATAGGAATACCAAAGTCTAATCCAGAACGTTCTCCTTTTTTCCACAACCGTAAAGACTCAACACAGGACTTACACACTTTATGAGGAACCCTTGATTTATCGAGTTTGTAGATTTTAAAACTAAAATATTCAGCATAAGTCTCCTCGACAAAGTCTGTGAGTTTTTGTTATATAAATACTGCAAATGTAACAAAATAAATCACTACTATATTTACACTTTCTTCGTGACGAACTCATGTTTTAAGAGACAAGACAAAATACGTGACAAAATATTAACACATGACAACTTATCCAGATTCATGTGAATAGGCCTTTAATGCAGAAATGCAGAAACTGGCAGTTTGTATAAGGTAAGTTGCATGCCTGATTTTCAAATATATCTTATATCTTTTAAATATATTTTTTACTATAATATATGGTGAACGCAATGGCTTCGCGTTCGATTAGGTAGAAGAAAAANTAGTATAAAATTCGTGAGATTTAGGAGTTGGAACATATCCGACGCATTATTTATGCTGAGATAAGTTTGAAAAATCAGTAACAACATTTTTTTTTCTCTTTGTAACTCGATCCGGGGAGATACTGTATATAATATAATATATTATATTATAAAATGTATAACAATCGTGATTTACTGGTTTTACCAAAATTCTTTTGTTAAACGGGCAATTCGAGATTATCATGACTTACCGTATGCTGGCCATAGTGGTCAGGCAAAAACGATGGCAGTAATGTATGATGGATTTTATTGGCCTAACATGAGCCGCGATATAAAGAATTATTGTAACAATTGCGAGTTATGTAATCGACGAAAAACTCCAGCGCACTTACAGAGGGTACCGCTACAAAAATTCCAAGCAATAAATCGTCCGTTCGAACGTACATCGATGGATATCGTTGGACCTTTGGTCACTACAGATAACGGGAATCGATATATTTTGACATTTCAAGATCACTTTACGAAGTACATCGAAGCTATACCTTTGCCAGATCAGAAGGCTGAAACAGTTGCCTAAGCTTTCGTGACTAAAATAGTTTATCGTCATGGAACGCCTAAACAATTATTGACGGATCAATCTAGTAATTTTGTTTCAAATTTAATGAAGGAAACGTGTAGGTTGCTAAAAATTGAAAAAATTCAAACTACCCGTTATCACCCGGAATGTAACGGATTGATCGAACGAAGTCACCGTGTAATTAAAGACATACTATCGCACTATATTTTCAAAAATCAAAGGGATTGGGATGAGTGGTTGCCTTTTGTTGTTCTTGCTTATTGCTCTTCTTATCACCGTAGCACAGGCTATACGCCTTATTTTCTCTTGTACGGTTGAGATATTGAGTTGCCGATTGACGATTTCATTAAACCTCTAACAACTAAAGGCCTATTCACACTATCGATCAACGACCGGTCAAGTCACGGGCCGGTTAAGTCACGGGTCGATCAAGTCACGGGTCGGTCGCGGTCCGGTCAATTTTCAATTAATTCACACTGGTGATCTACCGGCAGTCAGTGTGGTGTTGGAAACGTGGTGAAAAAATGTTGTCAACAACAAGTTTAATAAAAATTGCGCTAATTTTGGATGAAGAGGAAGAAGAAAATAGGATTTGTCACCTTATATAATGAACTCTTAGACGACGAAATTAAATATTTTAAATATTTCAGAATGTCAGTCAAAGAATTCAATGACATTCTTCAAGTAATTAAAGTTGATATTCAAAAGCAAAATACAACATTTCGAGAAGCTATATCTCCAATGCAGAAACTGGCAGTTTGTTTAAGGTAAGTAGTATGCCTGATTTTCAAATATATCTTATATCTTTTAAATATATTTTTTACTATAATATATGGTGAACGCAATGGCTTCGCGTTCGATTAGGTAGAAGAAAAATAAAGTTTTGATATGTTGTTATTTATTAATATAAATACATTAAAAAAATATTTCAAAATTAAAATAATATTTATTCAAATTTTCGTGCTTCTTTGCCCGGTAAAAAATTTTGAAAATACATTGACGCACTAGAATTCGGCCGTCTGTGTTCAGGGGGTAATGTGCTTGATGCCTGAGAGGAATTTGAGGATTGTGAAAAATGGTTAGATGACTGGTATTGATTGGGTGTGCAAGTTAAAAAATTAATATTATTAGTAGTAGAGGCAGTATATTCTAAATGGTTGTCTTGTGGAGGTGCTACTGGTGAAACTTGTGGAGATGGCATTGATTGTTACAAAAATGAAATTCTATCATGTGCATGAAACGGCTGAATCTGATGATGTGACTGCATTGGTGGAGGGTCGATGTACTTGCTTTCGAGCGTTGAAACAATTGTAAAAATTTGTTGCTTTGCTGTATGTTTGTCAGCAGCTGAAAATTTTTTAACCGTCTGTTTCATCATTTCAAAAAAGTAATCAATTTCATCTTTATTTTCATTTAGTTTTCGTTTTTCTTCCTCTAAAAGAAAATTCATAAGAGTACTTGCTGCCGTAGTCGCCTCGGTTGCTACTTTTAAAGTGCTCTTTTGTTTTGTTTTGGGAGTTGTTTGTGTAGGTACTGAAGTATTAATGTTAGTAGAACTTTCTGATAGAACTGTGTCTTGTCTGTAGTGGATGGAAGGGGAGTTAGAATGTAATGGTTGAGATACGTTCTCTTCCAACTCGCTGCCATCGTTGCTATCATCTGCTCCCCGATCGAAGGACGTTACTCGTTTTTTATCCTGCATAAACGGTTCTAAAAATTGCAGTGAATCTTCGTATTTCCACTTTTGTGTGTTTATGGCAGCTTGGCCGGATTTTGTTTTTTTTAATCTTTTTATTTTACGATATTGCGATCGCAGAGATTCCCATCTCTGCTTACAAATCTGTGGATCTGTAAAAAAAAAGGTATAACATAAAAGTATATAGGTAATGAATTACTGCCACCATGTGTTGTTACGTAAAGTAGTATTTTAATCGTTGTAAGCAATTTATAAATATCACGTTAATTTATAATATTAAAACGGCAACAATTTGCGTAATAATTCTCGCTTTTACTTACAGATTTCTTGCCACCGGAGATTCGTTTCAGACGATAGCATTTAGTTATCGCCTTGGCCATTCGACGGTGCATTCTATCGTGCATGAAGTATGTAAAGCAATTGTAAACAATTTATTGGCTACATGCATTCCAGTGCCAACTGAAAGCGATTGGCACGATATTGCCAAAACATTTTGGATGCATTGGAACTTCCCGAACTGTATAGGAGCATTGGATGGTAAACATGTTCAAATCTTGGCTCCTCCAAATAGCGGATCAAATTACTTTAATTACAAAAAAAAATTTTCGGTTGTTTTACTTGCTTTAGTTGATGCTAACTACAAGTTTATTTTTGTTGATATTGAGTCGTACGGAAAGAATAGCGATGGGGGTATTTTTGCTAATTCTCATTTAGGAAAACGTTTAGACAATGGCACATTAAATATTGCCAACCCTACAACATAACCAAATTCAAATATTAGAGCACCATATGTAATATTAGGGGATTCTGCATTTCCCTTGAAAGTCAATCTACTACGCCCATACCCAGAAACCCAAACATGTGATGCCATAGAAAAAAGGGTGTTTAATTATCGTCACTGTCGTGCCAGACGTGTTGTGGAGAATGCGTTTGGCATTTTAACGCAACGATTCAGAATTTATTTTCGAATTATTCATTCCAAACCGGACTATGTCGAACAAATTATTTTAACTACCTGTATTTTACACAACTATTTGCGAAATAATAACCTGTCACACTCTGAAAGCGATACACAAGTGAATGCACAAAATCAGTGTATACTTGAAAATTTACAAAAGCAAGGTGGCAACGCTCAACAACAAGCATTTTTTGTCCGAGAAAATTTTACAAGTTTTCTCAATTCGGAGTCGGGATCTCTACCTTGGCAGTTGGAAAAGATATAAAACTTTTCATAAATATTTCACAAAGCTATTACCACGCAATATTTATTGTTGTTAATATTAGAATATTATTATTTACTTTTTNCCGAGCAAGGTATTAATGTTCGTTAAGAGCATTGGACTGCACGGTGAAATTTGATAACGATATCTATCGGGGTACAATAGATCCTTAGGGTCGCGGTGCAAGGTTGGTTGGTCCGCCTACCCGATATGTATTCCATGTAATGTAATGTAATGTAATGTATATCTTTTAAATATATTTTTTACTATAATATATGGTGAACGCAATGGCTTCGCGTTCGATTAGGTAGAAGAAAAATAGGGCATATATCAAGATTAGGAGTGAGAATTAGAGAATTGCTATATCGATAGGAAATGAGTCAAAAAAGGCGTTAATGATAAAAAAAAATGCGGAAAAGTGTACTACTTACCGAAAAATCACTTTAAAGTTGCGATTTGACGTTTCTTTTACGAAGTTAAAAGTAATGTTAAATATGCATTTTCGTATTAAATCCTAACCTCAAATTGTTTAATTTATACCCACGAAACTTGTGGAGATGACATTGATTGTTGCAAAAATGAAATTCTATCATGTGCATGAAACGGCTGAATCTGATGATGTGACTGCACTGGTGGAGGGTCGATGTACTTGCTTTCGAGCGTTGAAACAATTGTAAAAATTTGTTGCTTTGCTGTATGTTTGTCAGCAGCTGAAAATTTTTTAACCGTCTGTTCATCGTTTCAAAAAAGTAATCAATTTCATCTTTATTTTCATTTAGTTTTCGTTTTTCTTCCTCTAAAAGAAAATTCATAAGAGTACTTGCTGCCGTAGTCGCCTCGGTTGCTACTTTTAAAGTGCTCTTTTGTTTTGTTTTGGGAGTTGTTTGTGTAGGTACTGAAGTATTAATGTTAGTAGAACTTTCTGATAGAACTGTGTCTTGTCTGTAGTGGATAGAAGGGGAGCTAGAATGTGATGGTTGAGATACGTTCTCTTCCAACACGCTGCCATCGTTGCTATCATCTGCTCCCCGATCGAAGGACGTTACTCGTTTTTTATCCTACATAAACGGTTCTAAAAATTGCAGTGAATCTTCGTATTTCCACTTTTGTGTGTTTATGGCAGCTTGGCCGGATTTTGTTTTTCTTAATCTCTTTATTTTACGATATTGCGATCGCAGAGATTCCCATCTCTGCTTACAAATCTGTGGATCTGTAAAAAAAAGGTATAACATAAAAGTATATAGGTAATGAATTACTGCCACCATGTGTTGTTACGTAAAGTAGTATTTTAATCGTTGTAAGCAATTTATAAATATCACGTTAATTTATAATATTAAAACGGCAACAATTTGCGTAATAATTCTCGCTTTTACTTACAGATTTCTTGCCACCGGAGATTCGTTTCAGACGATAGCATTTAGTTATCGCCTTGGCCATTCGACGGTGCATTCTATCGTGCATGAAGTATGTAAAGCAATTGTAAACAATTTATTGGCTACATGCATTCCAGTGCCAACTGAAAGCGATTGGCACGATATTGCCAAAACATTTTGGATGCATTGGAACTTCCCGAACTGTATAGGAGCATTGGATGGTAAACATGTTCAAATCTTGGCTCCTCCAAATAGCGGATCAAATTACTTTNATTCTAGTTCTAGCTATAGTGTTAATTCTACATAGTAACAGTGCTAGTTGCTAGTTGTAACATGGATTGCATGTGCATGTGCTTCGGATAGTATAAGCATTAGTATTAGACAACTAGATGAACGTGTGTAATAGTTGTAACAGTAATTGATAATAAACAGTTAACTAAAGTGGTGTCTTAATTATTATAAGTAGAGACAAAACATATTAGGGGATTCTGCATTTCCCTTGAAAGTCAATCTACTACGCCCATACCCAGAAACCCAAACATGTGATGCCATAGAAAAAAGGGTGTTTAATTATCGTCACTGTCGTGCCAGACGTGTTGTGGAGAATGCGTTTGGCATTTTAACGCAACGATTCAGAATTTATTTTCGAATTATTCATTCCAAACCGGACTATGTCGAACAAATTATTTTAACTACCTGTATTTTACACAACTATTTGCGAAATAATAACCTGTCACACTCTGAAAGCGATACACAAGTGAATGCACAAAATCAGTGTATACTTGAAAATTTACAAAAGCAAGGTGGCAACGCTCAACAACAAGCATTTTTTGTCCGAGAAAATTTTACAAGTTTTTTCAATTCGGAGTCGGGATCTGTACCTTGGCAGTTGGAAAAGATATAAAACTTTTCATAAATATTTCACAAAGCTATTACCACGCAATATTTATTGTTGTTAATATTAGAATATTATTATTTACTTTTTGCAACGAATGCTTATTATTTTCAAATATAGTGTAAGCCGGTTATAACGAACTTCCGGATATAACGAACGAACGAACGTAATAGTCCCGAAAATGTCTATTTAATAATTTACTATTTGTTCTTACTGATTTCCTTTACTTTCTTCCCAAATTGTTTAATTTCATTCAATTTAATATTACAAGATTTTTGTCAATTGTAATTTAAATAAATTTAATTCATGATTTTTTTAAATTATTGCTTATAACGAACTTCGGTTATAACGAACCGATTTTCAGGTTCCTTGAGGGTTCGTTATATCCGGAGTACACTGTACGTACTAACCTGTATAATATAACCTCTTATATAAATAGTATATAAAAAGTATTTACTTACCTTGTTTTATTTTTTCCCCGATGTCCCTCCACACATCTGCTTTGTGTACACTATCTGAATATTTGTTATTTGAAAAATCGTATAATTCTGTACATTCACGTAAGTACAGTTTCTATTAACTTTTTATCATTTTCACACGAAAATTTTCGTTGTCGCTTCATTTTGCCGCCTTTTTTACAATGAAATTCAGACTTGCAGGCACTCGTCGGAAATCAACAGGTTTGAGCCGGTCAAATATTCTTTCAAATGATCGCCGCGGTCACATGACCTCGCATGACGGCAAGAAGATCGTATGTGTGAATATACAGGATGTTCAGAAATTGGCGGATAATCTACACGTAGTGTTATTCTTCGTTCGATTCTAAAGCGAAAATCTTAATTGCAAAATGTTGTACCATGCTTCATACGTCTTCACGAGGTTCTCAAAGGTTGGATAATTTATCCATAAATAATCATAAATATTCAATATGTGTTGATAAATAAGCTGTAATTTGGAATAAAAAGAATTTTCAAAACTAGTTTTTTTTGTTCAAGTTATTTTGTTTTGCTTTAAAGTGCGTTTTTAACATTTTTTCATTATAACATCTTCAGGAAAAAGACATTTTTCAACATAGTAGAACAACATTTTCACATTAAGATTTTCGATTCAGAATCGGTCGTAGAATGTCGCTGCGTGTAGATTATCCGCCAATTTCTGAACACCCTGTATTGCCGTGAAATGCATATGTTCAGTAGGAAAGAAATTTTGTTTTAACCGTGATCGCTCCGTGAGTTGACCGATCGTTGATCGATAATGTGAATAGGCCTTTCAAATGATCGCCGCGGTTACATGACCGCAAAAAGACCACATGTGTGAATATATTGCCGTGAAATGCATACGTTTAGTAGGAAAGAAATTAGCCCAAAACATAGGTCCAACAGACAGTTTGAATTGTCATAGTGCATTATGATGTAAGTAGTAGACTCTAGAAACCTGCAGGTCTGTAAAACCAGTTGCTTCAAATTGCTGTAAGGAGGTCCAATAGACCAGCGTTTCTAATTGCATATACAGGTGTGTCAAATGCCTGGAATATAGCCAATAACTATACTTACTTAACTGGTACTGGATTGACAGAGCAGCAAGCTTCGTCCATTCTAACCAACATTAAGTGTCGGTTTGTAATTCACAAAATTTTTAGCTGGTAATCGACATGATTTTAGGTGACAAAACATAAATAAAGTCTTCTTTACGCCACAAGCCTATATTTTTCTTAATTTATTTATTAACACAACAAAGTTACAATTTAGATATTGATTTCATATTAAACACTTCGTCCCAAAAGTCAGTCCCCTCTTTATCAGGATTAATCCCAACCGTTAATTCATCTCCAATATTAATAAAATGTAGCTTGTCCTTTTCAATCGGTTTCCATTCAATATTAATTAAAGCATTCTCGTCGTCAAGATTATTCGGATTTCCATTCCTGGCAAAATTAGTCCACAACTTAACCATTCTTTGAATCGTTTTATCTTCGTAACTGTTTTCTTCGACCGGTGGATTTTTAGACATCTTAAACAAATAACACAATTCATCGGAATGAGAAGCTCCGGGAAAATCGACACCTTGTAGTTTTTTATATAAGTTTAATTGTCCATCGAAAGCGAATTTAAAGAAATAAATGGGATTTTGTAATGTTTTGAAATGTTTTACAGCCGTGTCTTGAATAAGACAGCCTAAACGCTCTGTATACATCCTATAAAATTGTTTACGATCTTTTGGGTACGTTGGGTTTCGTTCGTTAAAATAAAAAATCTTCGTTTTTTCGGCGATTTTTAATGATTCTGGACTTCTTTTTTTAAATCCTAATTTAAGTGGAATCATATCTTCAAAATCTCGTATTGAAATCAAATTTTGATTTCGTTTTAATTTTCTTCTTATTGAATAATCAAAAAATAATCCTTCATCTGCCGTGTATCCAACAATCATTGGTACTTTTATATATTCACCTTTTTTTATACGTTCCTTATAATCTGTAAAAGTTATTTTTTCTTCTATATTATCATCATTTTCAAAGACTGGATAAAACGGTCTCTCGACATTCGCTATTAAGGAAGATTTATATATCATCTGTCTTTGAATAATTTTCTCAATCGGTTGTTTCTGTAAAAATTCTAAAATATCTTTATCACTTTCTGAAGAGTGACCCAATCTTTTTGCCAACTTTTTCATGAAATCATTTTGACCGAATGCCGAATGAAGAATGCCCAATGTACTGTGAAGAATTATTTTGTGGAAAAGTCCTTCACATGATGGTACAAACATAAGGATATGGGCAAGAAGAGCCCCTGTGCTTTCTCCAAACAATGTTACGTTGTTTGGATTACCCGAAAATGATTCAATATTTCTTTGAACCCAATTTAAACCCATGATGATGTCTCGAAGCCCTTGATTACCTGGGATTCCTAAGGAGCCATCTTCAAGACGTGACCAACCTACAAAAGAAATTAATAAAAAAATGTTGGATCTTTTTAAATAAAAAGTTAGTTAAATACCTAAAGCTCCGAGCCTATAAGAAATTAATACAAGAACTACATCTTCAGTTAATAAAAATTCAGGACCGTAAATTTCTGTTTTAGTATTTCCTATTAAGAAAGCTCCACCATGGATGAAAACTATAACTGGTTTTAACTTTGTTTTTCCAGTATTAACTTCTGGAGTATAAACATTTAAATGTAAACAGTCTTCACTTCCTTCTAATTTCCTTGTGTATGTATTAGGTGCAATGCATCCTTCTTTTTCCTCAGTTACATCTAAAATTCCTTTCCATGGTTTAAGAGGTTGAGGAGGCTAAATCAATAAAAACTGTTTGACTCTACTAACACATAAGGATTTATAATAAAATTTTTCAATTTACCTTAAATCTTAAATTTCCGAGTGGAGGTGTAGCATATGGAATTCCAAAGAAGCTATAAAATGTTCTATTTTTATAATTGTTTTGAAGTTTTCCACGTAATTCTCCGTGTTTAATTTTAACTAGAACTGTATCCATTTTCAGTTTGATACTGAATTAACTGTTTACTAGTCATTCGAATATAAATAAGATATTTTATGAAAAAGGTATGTGATTACATATATTATATTTATTATAAACAGACTAAAATAATTATACAATAATATTTTGATGTGTTTAATTTTAATGTGTTTACTATTTTTCTCCAATTAACTAACATCCTATCAGCACCATTATGTATCATTATAATGAGCGTCTTCTAAGCTATAATATAAAATAAAATCTTAATCTTCAAGAAACCTTATTAACCTCCAACTTACTATCTTAATTCAAAAAAGTATTATTTGGATATTTGAACACTTGAAAAAATTATTTTTTAGACAGTTTTTCGATGTGTTAAATGGGTTGCATATTTTCAAGAATTTCAAAGTATATTGATTTTGAAGCAATTAAATTTGAATCAATTTGAAAAAATTGAATCGAGCCAGAACATCTTGATGTTATGAAGTTTCTGCTTTATTTCGCTGCGCATTATTTGTGAATCACTACGATGGAAAATTTTACACTTACAGATAGTCAATGATAACTCTCTTTCTATATCGCCAGCCTTAAGTAATGATTCTATGTTTTATAGAATTTTTAATGTCACAGGGTCGAGATGGTAGTCTTATCGAAATCCTTCTCTATGTCTAAGAATAACCACAAGGTAGACACCTATAACACACAGGTTTATTGATAAAACTGATTAAGTAAAATTATGTCCTTGCAATTCGCTGTGTTTTCTTTTAAATGTTTGTAAACTTAAGATGTAGAATCCTGTGAATTTTATTCTGCCTCGCCCCAAGCATACATGTAAGCAGTGGAATGATTGAAGCAGTGAGCACCAAAATTGTATACAAAATTGTTTTGATACAATGTTGTTTTGATACAACATAATTCAATGTATAGAATCTGCTATCATTTCCACAATAAGTGCTCTTCTTATTTGATCGTTACGCATGAACGATTCTAGTTTTTTTAATAGCTCCATTTGATTGTATTTGATTGATTGTATTTTATGAAATATTGCTCCAAACTGGACTAGCGTATGTTATTAATGAGCGCATTAGAGACGTTTAACATATGTAGATACTCCATGTTAGTCTTTGATCAAGTATGACTCCAAGATATTTTACTGCCTTGCCTTTTGTCTTCTTATTCTTCTCAGTGTAAACATTTTTGCTTCACATTTATTTGAATTAACTTACATTATTCCATTTCAATTATTAACAATTAGTCAATCAATTATTAACATTATTAAGTGAGCGTTGTAGTTGATCAGTTAATGCTTCTAGATATGTATTTTGTGATATAATAACCATATTATCACCGTACATACCTAGAGTGCTCTGATTAGTATTAGTATTATTGTTTTACATTAGGTTTCACTTTTGTGGTTGTTGAGGTGTAGCTATTGATGTAAAGATGCGATTTTCTCAAAAAACAGTTCTTCTAGTCAAAAATGGTGTCAAAGGCCTTTGCTACGTCTAAGAAGCGAGCCATGTGAACTTTTTATGCATAAAGCCTTATTCAATGATGTTAGTCACCTGTGTCAGTTAAAGAAATACAACTTGGTAAATTTTTATTATAACTAAGTTTAAGAACTCGGATTGATTGATAGACTCTTCAATAGGGAAAATATACTGGCCTAAAAGATTATTGAGATCATGTTGATGTTTCCAGAGTCCTTTTTTGATTAATATTACTACACCTCCTGCAACTGCTCGGGATTATCCATCTGTGAAATAGCTGTTATCTCCTGCTTTGTTCTAAAGTCTTCCCCTGAGGGCAAATTTCTTTCTGATATACAATCAGTATCGTGATTGTACGAAAAGATAAACGCTATTAGTAGTTGTCTTTGCTTTTTAATACAATTGTCTTTATAGGAGAATTTGGAGGAAGGATTCGTGTGGTGTATCGAGTGGCAATAGGTCCACTTAGTTATAAAGTCCAAACACCAGATGGAAAACAACATAAAAGACATGTCGACCAAATGAGAGAGAAGATCCCAGTGTTGGAAAATGCAGAAGCAGAGCCATTACTGGAAGAAGAAGCAGTTACACAACCAACCTCATTGTAGAAGAAGTGTGAAAAAATTGTGTATCGAGTGGCAATAAAAGTTACACGTATGATTTACACTATTTATTAATATATAGTGTATATATAGTATATAGTTTATATATATTAATTAATAGTGTAAATCATACTTGTTGAGTGGCAATAAAAGTTACACGTATGATTTACACTATTTATTAATATATAGTGTATATATAGTATACAGCCTGATTCAGAGTAAGCGCCTTATTTTTTTTAGTCACACTGTGGGTACTACTTTCAAAATATTTGGCAGTAATATGTTTTGGGTCATTCTCTACACGATGGTGATGCCACATTTTCAATTGGAAGAATTATTTCAAAATGGCGACTGTCAACTTTTGTTTTTTTAATCTATGCTATATTTAATCTATGACATTACAAAAGAAAACTTCACGCTATAATTGCCTTTACTAATTGCCAAAGAAAACTTCATGGTATAATTAATGTTTGTAAACAAAACTAACCTTACCTCACATTCCTTCACGCTATAATTGACATTATAAAAGAAAACTTCACGCTATAATTGCCATTACTAATTGCCAAAGAAAACTTCATGGTATAATTAATGTTTGTAAACAAAACTAACCTTACCTCACATTCCTTCACGCTATAATTGACATTACAAAAGAAAACTTCACGCTATAATTGCCATTACTAATTGCCAAAGAATACTTCATGGTATAATTAATGTTTGTAAACAAAACTAACCTTACCTAACATTCAGCGTCTGAAGACACAGGGCTAAACCCGAAACTTAAAAATATACAACTTAGCGCTGAATAACAATTAAAACTAGAACTAACACTTGCACTAGAACTATACTCTGTTTTTAAACCAGGAGGAGTAAACGCGAAAGTCAGATTTACACTGGAAAAAATCACCAGAAAATATCACTAGATATTTTGGCGGTAAATTTAAATTAATAATTATTATTTATTTATTTACTTATTATTGTATTTATTTTCGTTTGTTATCGTCAACACTATACATACAAATTAACATTGAAGTTATGAGTGTATTTATTTCAAAATATAATAAAAAAGGGTTTAAGAACACAAAATATACAATAATGACACGAAACTGTCGAATTATCAATTACCTAACCTTCAAATTCAAAATCAAAATTCAAAATTGCCTGTGTGTGAACCTTCCTCGCATTCAACCAATCACGTGCAAGGTCAATCTGGTGACAAATTTAAAATACTCCTCCTGGTTTAAAAACAGAGTATAGATTAAAATATTAGGTTCCTTTTGGATGGGGAAAGAAATGAATTTTTAAGAAAAACAAAATACTGTCGTAAAAAGAATGCTTTTAAGATCTCAATAATAAAAAAAAAATTTTGGCATTCCATTAAAAAAAAAAAAGTTGACAGTCGCCATTTTGAAATAATTCGTCCAATTGAAAATATGATATCACCATCGTGTAGAGAGTGTCCTAAAACATATTACTGCCAAATATTTACGCTTACTCTGAATCAGGCTGTATAGTTTATATATACAGGGTGATTTATAACATACGGAGCAGACTAAAAGGGTAGGTACTAGGAGCCAAATTGAAGATATTTTTCTAATAAAATTTTGACCACAACTTAATAATCACAAAGATATAGAACGTTAAAGTTGAAGTAATGGCCGAGCATTTCTTACCATATACGGTATTACACTACGTTTAAATTCAAACTGCGAATATTTCGGGGTTACTTAAACAATGCATAATTAATAAAAATAATAAAATCTTTATAACATAGCAGTTACGGCTATTTAAAAATTTGTTAAAACGCTCAAACGGTGGTGTTTGTTTATTGAGAACCGCTGATACCATGTTTTTATTGCTGCCAATCCAGTTGATTTGGTTACTTAGCAACGGACAAGTATTTTAATTATTCTTTACTGAATATCAGCGGTTCTCAAAAATGGACGTAAAATTATTTAAAAAATTAACATGGGATATCTATGTAACTATTAAGTTTTTAACAAAACATTATTAAGAAAATCTCTTCAGTTTTACCTCCAGTACCTACTCTTTTAGTCTGCTCCGTATGTTATAAATCACCCTGTATTAATTAATAGTGTAAATCATACTTGTAACTTTTATTGCCACTCGATACACAAGTTTTGCACACTTTTTCTACAATGAGGTTGGTTGTGCAACTGCTTCTTTTTCCAGTAATGGCTCTGCTTCTGCATTTTCCAACACTGGGATCTTCTCTCTCATTTGGTCGACATGTCTTTTATGTTGTTTGGACTTTATAACTAAGTGGACCGTTTACTTCGGTTACTGCTGCAGGTTGCCACTTTTCCCGTGTTTCATACGATCTCATGAAAACTGAATCGTCCAATGTAAACATTCTTGGCGGTGTTGTTGAACACTTCTCTTCTTGCTTGATCTTCATGTTCTTAGTGAAATCTGATTTGATTCGGTCCAATAGACATGATAATCTTCTTCCCATGAGCATCTCTCCTGCTGATCTCCCCATCGTTGCATTTTGTATTTGCAGGATGTTGTTGCTTTGGACATGGGAGTTATTATACGTAGTTTGCACGTGTTGGTTGTAAATGTTTGTTCTTACTTGTTGTGGGTTATTCTGTTGTACCAATATCCGTATGGACTTTACTGTATGGAACTGCTTCTTCGCAGTTTGAACATTTAGGAGGATCGTTTTTCTTTTTTTGGATTTGGACGTGATTGTGTTCTTCGCCACATTCAACGCATTTAGGCTTGAGTGAGCAATAATCTTTTGTGTGTCAAAACGTTGTGGAATGTTTCCTTTAAAGTTAAATATTTCTATCGAGTGCTCAACTGTATTATCTGAACATAAAAATTTGGTTTATCGTTTTCATTCTAAATTTTTGTTTGGATGTCTTTTTTTCAATATGTAGGAAAATATCCAAGTTTTAAACACGAATTAAAAATAGTTGTTATATAACATATAAAATTTGTCGGTAAATGTTTTAGAACTATGTTTGGTATAAGGTTTTACCCCGGATCCTTTTTGTTAGATAATTTTTCATTAGTTACCTCTTTAGCTACTTCTTTAATATTCGAAAGATGAATCTAATGAAGGCCTTGTCTGATGATTCTGATTCCGAAAATCATGAGGATGTAACCTAATTGCTAACGATTTTGCTTCTAAAATCTACAAGATTATTGCTGATCGAATGCGGTAGAAAACGCATTAATAACTCATAATTTATTTATGTAGTATATAGGTGTCACAAAAGTCCGGTATTTCTGTTGATAAAAACAGAACGAAAGCACATAGACACATGATATTTGTCATAAATTTTATTCAAACATTAACAGATCCACCCTTCGCCTTCACAAAGGTCCGTAGACGCTTGGGGAATGCAACCACCATAGCGTAGAGCTTCACAACGTCGAGATCGTCTCATGCCTTCTAAAGATGCAGACTGTCGAGATTTAAGTGGAGAGTAGCACAGGCCTTGCTCTTAATTACCGACCACACAGAAAAGTCGAAGAGGTTCAAATCAGATGAGCAGTGGGTGATCATGGCTGAAAAATTGGTCCGACACCACTGCTGAATCATCTTAACCCAGATATGCCCACCGTACTACATATAGTACACGCAAATACATGTCTCAACGTGTCCGAACATGAGTCGAAGTAGCATTTCGGGTGCACGCAGGCATTCAGTAAGAAGTAGTGGTTGCGTAAAGGTGCATAGGTTTGCAATTAAGTGTTAATTACTCTCTGTTATTTTTTAAAGATTGTGTAATATCATTAATGGCGGAATACAGTGTACGATTTGTTAGGTAAGTAGTTTTTCATATATTGTATTATCTATTTTTCTATTATTCATTATGGATAATAAGGCAAAAGTACCAAGTTTTAGATATATTATCTCCAAATTAGTTTTAAAATTTATTAGAGTATTGTTTCAACCCGATTTTTTTATGTGTACTATATGTAGGACGGTGGGCATTCGGATACCTCTTAGTTGTTCTATTATTCTAGAGGTTTTTCGTTAAACGAGGCTTTGGCAATGTTAGAAGATGACGACGAACTGGCAGAAAACGGCGATTCTTTGACCATTTTTCCACCAGAGAATGCTTGCGGAGATCAAACCGATGAAGATTCTGGAGAGGAGGATGCCTCAAACCTAAATAATTTACCTGGACCACAACTTCAAGCTCCAGCTGAAATAAATTTCCGAAATATTGACTGCCAGAATCAAAATCAAAAGAATGATGACGATTTTTCTTCAGACGACGAAATTCCTCTTTCAGCCTTGAGGGTAAAGAAAGCAAGGGTTGAAAAAAATATGAAAAAAACGAAAAGTTGTAAGTGGACGGATAACGACTTGAAGCCTAATATTATAATTTTTAATGGACAAGTAGATGAAAATGATAACGATATAAGTCCTTTGGAGCTATTTTCACTTTTCTTTGATGATGAAATACTGGATCCAAAGTAATCGTTATGCAAATTAGAAGAATCACCACCTAAGAATAGAGAAAACAGAAATAAAAGAATTTATAGGTGTACTATTACTCAGTGGATACATGCAAGTACCAAGAAGGAGAATGTACTGGGAGTATGAAAGAGACAAAATGTCAAAATGTGTTGGTGTCTAAAGCAATAAGTCGAAATAATTTTGAATATATTATGTCCCATTGCAGATACTACTAAAATAGAAGCAAGAGACAAATTCGCAAAGGTGAGGCCTTTATTCCAACATCTGAATAAAAATTTTTTAGTAAATAGTATATGCGAGGAGATACATTGCGTTGATGAAGCCATGGTACCATACTTTGGTCGTCATGGCTGTAAACAGTTTATACATGGTAAACCCATCCGATATGGTTATAAACGCGACTGGGCTATGTCAACTGGTTCGAGCCGTACCAAGGCGCGTCAACAAATATCAGCACTATGTATAGTGCGTACGGTGCAGGGCCTGCTGTTGATTTAGAATATGCCGACGTTTTGAAGAAAAAATGGCCTAATGAACCAATACACTTTCTTTTGACAACTTCTTTTCCACCTTGCCGCTATTGGAGCTTCTATGCAATAAAAATTTGAGAGGCACAGGCAACATTCGTGAAAACCGTATACCAGCTAGTCCTCTGATGGATTCCAAAAAAATTAAGAAAGAGCCAAGGGGATGCTACGATTATAAAAATGTTGATGTCCAAAATATAATTGTTGTAAAATGGCATGACAATAGTAGTGTTACTTTATGTTCAAATTCTGCGGGGGTGAATCCAATTCATTCTTCAAAAAGATTTTCTCGAAAACAAAAGAAAATTATTCAAGTAACTCAGCCACATTTTGTCAATTTATACAACGCGAATATGGGAGGTGTCAACAGATGTGATCAAAATATGAGCCTTTATCGTATATCTGTCAGAGAGAAAAAGTGGTATCTTCCTCTTATATCGCATTGTATTGACATGTCAGTCCACAACGCTTGGCAACTAAATAGGAGAAGTGGTGGAGCACTAAGTAGATCAGCTAAAATTTAGAAGAAGAATTGCCACCACACTGCTATTGCAGAATAAAAAACAAACGACTTCAAGAGGACATACGTCACGTAATGAAGGTATAGATATTCGGTTTGATCACAGGCACCACTACGTCATACCTCAAGATAAGCAAACTAGATGCGTCCATTGTCATCAGAAGACCACCATTAGATGTTTGAAGTGTGAAAAGGGTCTACACGTGAAGTGTTTCCTCTCATATCATACACAAACTAACAATTAGATTTGTTACTCCTTAAATGCCCAGCCCAGAATTTTGTATTTTTCAAAATATGTTTTTAATTTTCTTTACAAAATTTGTTTATGTATAGCTTAAACACTAACCTCTCAGAACATCTACTCATAAACAACCACCAAATTTGTATGGGCATATCTGGGTTAATATTGTAGGCGGGTGCTGAGCCCTGTTGGAATGTTCAAGGGCGCACGCTAAAATGGGACTAGCTCCAAGGAAACACTTTCTTTATCAGAATCTCATCAAGGTAGTTCTGGGAGTTAATCTTGACCTCTGATCCACAAAAATCAGTGATATCAATCCTGCACGACTCTTTCGGGAAACGTAGCGACCACGCCCATTCACTTCCTGAACCGTTCAGAATTCTATCATTTTGACGACTGAGTGTTTACTTAATCGTGAATAACTTCTCGTCAGTGAAGAAGATGTGTTTGAGCTCGGTCGGTGAGAAGCGGAAGTTCGCGACATTACTGAAGGAAAGTGGCCTTCATCTATACATACAACAAAAACGAAGAAAGCTGCAACATCGCAAAGTTAGGTTCCCAGACATTTTTGACACCAGCTTTTGATTCTTTTGAAACAACAAAAAAAACAATACATTTCTTTTAAATTTCTTTATTAACACAACGTTACAGTTTAGATATCGGTTTCATATTAAATATTTCTTCCCAAAACTCGGCACCTTCTTTATCAGGATTAATCCCAACAGTTAAATCATCTCCAATATTAAGAAAATGTAGCTTGTTCTTTTCAATTGGTTTCCATTCAATATCAATGAAACCATTTTCGCCTTCAAGATTATTCGGATTTCCGTTCTTAGCAAAATTAGTCCATAACTTAACCATTCTTTGAATCGTCTTATCTTCGTAACTGTTTGCTTCAACCGGCGGATTTTTGGACATCTTAAATAAATAACACAACTCATCGGAATGAGAAGCTCCGGGGAAATCGACACCTTGCAGTTTTTTATATAAATTTAATTTCCCGTCGAAGGCGAATTTAAAGAAATAGATGGGATTTTGTAAAGTTTCAAAATGTTTTTTAGCCGTGGTTTGAATAAGAGAGTTAAAACGACTCTCTGAAAATAATCTATAAAATTGTTTGCGATCTTGTAACGTTGGATTTCGTCCGTTAAAATAAAACATCTTCGTCTTTTCAGCGATCTTTAATGATTCTGGACTTCCCTTTTTAAACTCTAATTTAAATGGCACCATATCTTCAAAATCTTTTATTAGAATCGGGTTTTCATTACGTTTTAATTGTCTTCGGATTAAATTGTCAAAAAATAGTCCTTCATCTGATGTGTATCCAATAATCATAGGAACTTTTATGTATTCACCCTTTTTTATGCGTTCATTATAATCTCCAAATATTATTTTTTCCTCTATATTATCACCATTTTCAAAAATGGGGTAAAACGGTCTTGCTGCATTCGATATTATGGAGTATTTAACCATCATTTGCCCTTCAAAAATTTTCTCAACAGGTTGTTTTTGTAAAAATTCTAAAATATCTTTATCATTTTCTGAGGTGCAACCCAATTTTTCTGCCAACAGTTTCATGGAGTCGTTTCGACCGAAAGAATAATGAAGGAGAGCCGTTGTACTGTGAAGAATTATTTTATGGAAAAGCCCTTCACATGATGGCACAAACATAAGGATGTGAGCGAGAAGAGCCCCTGCACTCTCTCCAAACACTGTAACGTTTCTTGGATTACCCGAAAATGATTCGATGTTATATTGAACCCAATTTAAACCCATGATGATGTCTCGAAGCCCTTGATTGCCTGGGATTCCTAAGGAACCATCTTCAAGGCGTGACCAACCTACAAAAGAAATTAATAAAGAAATGTTGGATCTTTTGAAACGAAGAGTTAGTTAAATACCTAAAGCTCCGAGCCTATAAGAAATTAATACGAGAACTACATCTTGAGTTAATAAAAATTCTGGACCAAAAATTTCTGTTTTAGTATTTCCTACTAAAAAAGCTCCACCATAAATGAAAACTATAACTGGTTTTAATTTTTTGTTTCCAGTATTAACCTCTGGAGTATAAACATTTAGATGTAAACAATCTTCAGTGCCTTCAATTTTTTTTGTATAAATATTAGGTGCAAAACAACCTTCCTTTTCTTCTGTTACATCTAAAATTCCTTTCCATGGATTGAGAGGTTGAGGGGGCTTAATCAATAAAAAATATGAAATACATCTAAAGATTTATCAATTTTTGTTTTTGATACCTTAAATCTTAAATTTCCGAGTGGAGGTGTAGCATACGGAATTCCAAAGAAACTATAAAAACTTCCATTTTTATAATTTTTCTGACGTTTTCCACGTAATTCCCCATGTTTTACTTTAACTAGAACTGTGTCCATATCCATATTCAATTTGATACTGTGTTAACTTTTTAGTAGACATTCTCAAGTATGATAAGATATTCCCTTAAAAAAACTATTTGATATATCCATTACAAATAGATGAAAATAATTAGATAATACTATTGTTTTATTATGAAACGCACTTTATTTATAATTTATGTTCAATTAACTCATCAAGTAATATTTATTATGACGTATCACCAAAATGTTGTTAAAAATTAAGATTACCGAGGAAAGTGGTTTTAAAGAATAGTAACCTCAAAAAGTTATAACTAACTATGTATCTATCAACTAAGAAAATTTTTTCCCATGATATTGAGAGAAAACAAAAAATTAAACATGCGCTGTACTTATTATTTTCATAAATACCATAAAACCTTGAGTTTTGTTAAATAACTATTAACCTTGGGTGTATTGTAAAATTCATCTATCTAATCTCACTACTCACTACACTGCAACTATCAAATAACATTCAATTAGTACCAAGTTGATATTGAACCAAGTTCTCGTTAGAATAAAATGTGGAAAACTATTACAGCTGAAATATTTAAATAGGAAATGTTTTATAGGTTTCTCGGAATTTCTTGTGGGATACCATCGATTGAAAAATTAAGATTCAAGGTAAATTGAAGATAAATTTTGTTTATAAATCGATATAAACCGTCGGTTTCAACAATATAAGTTGTATTTCTTAATTGGGTTGCATACTTTTAATAGCAATTAAGGCATAGCAAGAAATTTTAGATGTAACAAACGAAAAAGAAGGTATTTTACAACTAATATTTATATCGGAAAATATGAAAGATACTCGATCTGCTAATCTGCCTCTAAGATATTTTTTAAGAAGTTGACTGGCAGCTGTCTCTCGATCTCTTTGGTAATCTACCAGGTGATCTAGTTCAGAGCATGTTGTTTATAATCACAATTTTTAGCTGCCCATTATTTGGATTGTTATTTCTACAGACATTATTGTGTCAAAATCTCTCTTACGCTGTCTTCGTCACATCACAATGTCGTGAACCCCGGATTGTTCTCTGATATCCGATATCAGAGAACATTCCTAATTATGTCCCATCTGGTCTTCCCTGAAATTGTTCTCCTCATTTCTATTATTATATTATGCATACGCATGAATTTGTTGAACCAAACAGTATCTCGTAAGCTGCCTGAAATTGCGGATAAATTGTTGATCGAACTTCTTAGGTCCTTTGTGGGATCGTGAGTGCTTGAGATGTGTACACCAAAGCAGGAAAATTCCTTGATTTATGCGATAGGGTGTTGTAGACTATCTGCTTATATCTTTTTGGCTTAATTGTTACCACCATGCATTTAGCCTTTAAAGCAGCTACTTTTGCAACATACCACTTGAGGTTGGTGTTAAGATTTATTTCAAAGTTAGCAGTTTGGGTTGCATAAAGTATACAATTTTATTTTTAATTTTGGTTAAGTCGAGAACAACTTTTTGTCTTTCGATATTGACACATGTCGTACCAGTCATATGTAGTGTATAACACACACGTCGTACCAGTCATATATATATAACAAACAAACTTCGCAAATTTATAAAACAAGTGTACATATAATAAAATAAAGAACAATTTAAATACAAATAAAAGAAGTGTGTTTGAATCAGCGCATTCCAGAAAAAATAAGTAACAGTTGGGATGTCTTCGATTAGTTGTTTTGTTGCTTTTACTTTAATCTTGTTGTTAATGTCATCTGTTGCATCACTTTGTGTCAGCAATATACAAAGCATAATATAATATATGCATTAATATACCGGGAATTTCATATTAGTTATTTATATTACAAGTGGGCTAGAAACATAATTACTGTACGAGTGTGGAGAACTGCACTACGAGGTCGTAGACCGAGTACTGTAATTATGCTCTGGCCCACGTGTGATATACAGCATTTTATCTACGACTGCTAAAAATTACTAAAAAATCAATTTCTTTAGAAAAGTCTATTTGACATTTACATATAAAAATATTTTCAAATGATTGTTGACAATTTTGAATTGTCAGTTTCAACAACATGTTTACTCATCTGGAATAAGTGTTTCGAAATGTAAAAACATAACAATGAATGTTTATAATAAATAGTATTGTTTCTCTGTAAGTAGATAGAACTTTTTCTTCTGTATTGTTGCTCGTTTCAATAAATTAAGTGTGTTCTGATTAGGCTAAAAATGCGTTACGTAATGAAACCAGTGCGTAATGAACTTCATTACGTAACTCAAATCACCTCAAATAAGTGCGGTAATGATGACTTATCCAAGCAGTCGACTTATCAAGATGTTCAAAATACATAATTACATGAATACTTTAGCGTTAAATCCTTTCAAATGCATAATATAAGCAGATATATTTTAAAAACAACAATTGTCATAAATTTTATTACAGCGCGCCTGCTTGATGGTTAAAACTACAACTAACACTAGATCTAGATCTAGAAACATTCGGTTTTAGCCGCACGTCTTTCAAGACGGCTAAACCCAAATGATTCTAGTTCTAGATCTAGTGTTAGTTTTAGCGCTAGTGTTAGTCTAGTTTTATTTGTTATTCAGCACTAAATCCGTTATATCGAGGTTTTAGTTTAATGTTAAATTATATTGACATGTTGCATTTTATGTGGGACAAAGTAAGTAGGTACGCCCTAATTTCTATGGAAATATATTTTTGTATATTGCATCTTAAATGAAATTCACTGTATAGGGATATAATAGGGATTCTAAGAGTTTTGTTTTGGATGATTTGATGTTTTCTGAAATTACTGTCGGCGGTATTACAAGATGGCAGAGCATTTCGTGAAACGAAGGGATAGATGGTTTTTTATGATTTTTACGAAGGAGGATTCCTTGGATATGGAGTTTTGAATGTGGAAAGAAAAAGTTAAACTTTTGTATAAGGTGATTTGGTTTCCTGGTTCAGTGGAATTGTGTAATTGAAGATTTTTAGGGTAAACATTGAATAAGTGTGGACTGTTTACGTCTTCTTGCCGTACACCAGATTTGATTGTTTAAGGTATGATAGGGTAGAGTTGACTTTAATATTTACCTGTACCACAAAAATCCAACCCCTTATTTTCAGACTTACGGCCGATCAGCATTCTCATTGTTTTTGCTAAGGTGTGTGAAAAACTGTTATGGCAACAAATGAATCAGTTTGTTTCATGTGAGGATATTTTGCCTCAAGTACAGTCGGGTTTTAGATCGGGGTTTAGCTGCAACACAGCACTTTTGTGTGTAGTGGACCATATTTTGAGGGCTGCAGATGACAACAATATAACTATCCTATGTCTTATATGCTGCTTTTTGCTATATTGTATCACAATGGGGTTGGACCTAAGGTATTGAATTTGCTTAGTGAATATGTTGCTGGGCGAGAGTAAGCCGTGAGCCTAGGTGGCAGTAGGTCAGTTTTGTGGTATCTACTTCTGGGTATCCTCAGGGGTCTATATTGTCACCACTGTTGTTTTTTATTTATGTTAGAAACATATCAAACTGCTTAAAATACTCCAAATATCACTATTATGCTGATGACACCCAGATTTAAGTATCGGGTAAGAAAACGGAGTTGGATGAGTTATGTGGTCGGCTTGAGAATGATTTGTTGTCGATCGTGGACTATTCCCAGCGACATGTGCTACAAATTAACAGTAGCAAAACCGAGCTTATTGTATTTGGTCCGCGAAGGCTTAGAAATAGAGTAAAGGATAGGATTAAGGTAACACTAAATGGAGATCGTTTAGAGCTAAAGGAAAAAGTAAAAAATTTGAGAGTTGTGGTAGACGAGGCTTTGAGCTTTCGCGACCATATAAATTTATGTTTAAAAAAGACTTTTATTCACATGAAAAAAATATATAACATGAGACATCTTTCCCGAAAGTTGAAAGCCATGCTCTGTGATTTCTTGGTCCTCTCCCATTTTAATTATGCTGATGCACTGTACTCTCCATTCTTGACTTCTCAGCTGCGAGCGAGGATGCAACGAATACAAACTTCATGTATACCTACGCTTGATTCTTGGTTTGAGACGGAGAGATCATGTGAGTCATAAACTGGAGAAGCTTAATTGGCTTAACATGCATAATCGAAGAACAATGCATACTACTGTTCTCTTTTATAAAATAATTGTTACGGGTATGCCTTCTTACCTAATTGATAAAATTCGCTGGTCCGACTTACATACACTTAATATTAGATTTAAGGGAGCATCATCACCTCCGTTTCATAAGACAGAACGTTTTAAAAATAGCAACACTTACATAATTTTTAAGTTATATAACATGTACATTTTATTACTGGGTCGCCTATGGGCGCATGGAAGATCAGCTTTTTTCTGCTGAATGCGCACCATACATCTTTGACTTCTTGTTACTATTAAGTTTTTTCTTTTGTATTTGTTTTCATTGGATCAATAAACTATATATTATTATTATATAACCATGGGTTAGTTTCTTGAGGTGGGAGGATATTTGGATAGGCTTAATTTGTGGATGAGGTTGTCGATCCATACGGTATAGAATGCATGGGTCGCAAGCTGATGAGGTGTTTTAATTTCGGGAGTGCGAGTTTAGTTTTTCGAGATGGATTTTCTTTACGGCTTTGGAGATGATTTTTGGTAGGTTTGGTAATGAATATGATTATGACAATTTTTCAAGCGACGAGGAGGCGCTGGAGATTGAGGATATGCCCTGTGATGTAGCACAGTATACTATGACTTTTTTGGGCAGTTTTTGCAGAATGATGTTTGTCAAAGTAGAAAGCATTTTATGATTGTTATGATGGAAGCCGGTGTGATTGGGCGGAGGTTTTTGGGTTTAGATTTGCGAATCGTCTAGAGCGACAAGTTCTAGTAGAGGATTTATGTCTTCAAGAGCTGCGATGTCAATTATCGTGAGAGTCATTGCATTGGTTGAAAACTGGGTTAAGATGTGGAGGATGAGGACGAAAGCGTTGTAGACTTTGGTATAATTGAAGATGATATGGCCTATTCTGTTGAAGATGTAGGACCTCCAGGACGGGTGGTGGACTTTGAGGTCTCCGAGGATAAAGATATGTGTATTTCTCCCAAATTTTAAACTGATTCTTATGACTGAAAATTAATTCTTATGAAGATGTCAATGATATCTCCCCTAATTCCGCTTTTAGTTCCGTTATGTCTGTGTGGTTTAAGAAATGTTGCACATTCCTCAAATTTTACATAAGAAATAGCTAAAATAATCTTCTTGCACAATTTGTACACTTATGCCATCATCTATAACTGTTTCCAAAAACTCTTTAATAGAAAAAAATCACACCACAATACATTTAATTTAAATTTCTTTATTAACACAACAAAGTTACAATTTAGATATTGATTTCATATTAAACACTTCTTCCCAAAAATCAGTCCCCTCTTTATCAGGATTAATCCCAACCGTTAATTCATCTCCAATATTAAGAAAATGTAGCTTGCCCTTTTCAATCGGTTTCCATTCAATATTAATTAAAGCATTCTCGCGGTCAAGATTATTCGGATTTCCATTCTTGGCAAAATTAGTCCACAACTTAACCATTCTTTGAATCGTTTTATCTTCGTAACTGTTTTCTTCGACCGGTGGATTTTTGGACATCTTAAATAAATAACACAACTCATCTGAATGAGAAACTCCGGGAAAATCGACGCCTTGTAGTTTTTTATATAAGTTTAATTTTCCGTCGAAGGCGAATTTAAATAAATAAATGGGATTTTGTAAAGTTTCGAAATGTCTTTTAGCCGTGTCTTGAATAAGAGTGATAAAACGACTATCTGCGAATAATCTATAAAATTGTTTGCGATCTTGTAACGTTGGATTTCGTCCATTATAATAAAACATCTTCATCTTTTCGGCGATCTTTAAAGATTCTGGACTTCCCTTTTTAAATCCTAATTTAAATGGGATGATATCTTCAAAATCGTTTATTAAAATCGGATTTTCATTACGTTTTAATTGTCTTCGGATTAAATTGTCAAAAAATAGTCCTTCATCTGATACGTATCCAATAATCATCGGTACTTTTATGTATTCACCTTTTTTTATGCGGTCCTTAAATTCTCCAAAAATAATCTTTTCTTCAATATTATCATCATCTTCAAAAACGGGAAAAAACGGTCTTGCGGCATTCCCTTTTATGGAAGATTTAACCATCATTTGACCTTGCATAAGTTTCTCCATCGATTGTTTCTGTAAAAACTCTAAGATATCTTTATCAATTTCTGAAGAGCAACCCAATTTTTTTGCCAACTGTTTCATGGAATCGGTTTGCCCGAAAGACCAATGAAAAAGAGCCGACGTACTATGAAGAATTATTTTATGAAAAAGTCCTTTACATGATGGTACAAACATAAGAATGTGGGCAAGAAGAGCCCCTGCACTTCCCCCAAACAGTGTCACGTTGTTTGGATCGCCCGAAAATGATTCGATATTTTGTTGAACCCAATTTAAAGCCATGATAACGTCTCGAATCCCTTGATTGCCAGGGATTCCTAAAGAACCATCTTCAAGACGTGACCAACCTACAATATAAATTAATAAAAAAATGTTGGATCTTTTTAAACGAAGAGGTAGTTAAATACCCAAAGCTCCGAGCCTATAAGAAATTAATACTAGAACTATATCTTGAGTTAATAAAAATTCTGGACCATAAATTTCAGTTTTAATATTTCCTATTGAAAAACCTCCACCGTAAATGAAAACTATAACTGGTTTTAAATTTATGTTTCCAGAATTAACCTCTGGAGTATAAACATTTAGATGTAGACAATCTTCACTTCCTTCTAATTTCCCTGTATATGTATTAGGTGCAAAACATCCTTCTTTTTCTTCTGTTGCATCTAAAATTCCATCCCATGGTTTGAGAGGTTGAGGAGGCTAAATTAATCAACAAAATTAAATAAATATATGCAACTCAACTAACACATAATATAAAAATAAAAATTTATCAGTTGTTATCTTCAACTTACCTTAAATCGTAAATTTCCGAGTGGAGGTGTAGCATACGGAATTCCAAAGAAGCTATAGAATGTTCCATTTTTATAATTTTTCTGAAGTTTTCCGCGTAATTCACCATGTTTTACTTTAACTAGAACTGTGTCCATTTCAAGTTTGATACTGTTTCATTTCAAAAGTCATTCTGAAGTAAGATAAGATATTTCTTAAAAGGACTAATGTTTATATTTTATCCATAATAAATAGATTAAAATTATTAGAGAGCGATAAAAAATAACTTATAGTTGCAAACAAATAAAAATTATTTATTAAAAATATAACAAAATAGTTATTAAAAATTTCAAAAAGTGATTATATTTTAATTTGCGGTTGAACTCAAAAAATCAATACCCCGAAATTAAAATATTCGAAGAAATGATATATAATATTTATTTAATACCATCAATATCTCATTTAGTTTTAGAGATGTAATCCAATGTATATTTTTGTCGTATATCTTAATATGTGTGGTTATGGTTTGATTCAATTTGATTATTTAGAAATATTCTTCTCAACGCTATAAATATTAATTAAATTTGTTACAAAATGCCATTCATCTTAATATTTCAATTATTTTCAAAGATGCAATTCCATAAACATTGCTACTTTTTAAATTAACATCATATTGTGATTAAACTGAAAAAATCATTACCCCAATATTTGACGCTTTGAGTAAATAATCTCCAACATAATAAATACCATTTAAATTTGCTACAAAATGCATTTTATATCACTCCAATATCTCAATTAGTATTTGAGATACCTACAATACCATTAAAAATTGATGGTTTTCAATGTATTATTTACGACTGAAAAAAAATATCATCGCTTTAAAATATGAAAATATGAAGAAATGATATTTAACACACCAAATATACATTAAACTTACTACAAAATGTAATTTATCTTACGCTGATTTCTCAATTAGTTTGTGAGATACAATATCATTAATGTTGATTTTTTTTAATGTAATATTTACGATTTTCACTGAATAGAAAAATCTTCATCTCGAAATTTGAAAATATGAAGAAATGATTTTTAACAAACTAAATATAAATTAAATTTGCTATAAAATGTAGTTGTGCGTGAGACGCACAATATTATTTTGCTGCATTCTATCTGTTTCACCAAAGAGTACTATGGTGCGAATGGTGCTGCATGATTTTTCCATTATAAGTTATGGCCATTTTAATATGACATAATAAGTTTGAACCCACTATATGGATCAGTACTAGTGGTGGAACGGATATCCGGGCAACTATCCGGTATTCGGCCATTTTTTAAAATCCGGCTGGATACCGGATAGTTACCAAATATCCGGCTTTGGCCGGATATTAAATACCTATTACTTAGTACTCCACCATTCACAGGAATTAGTATCTCTTTTAGGTGTTGGACACAACGTGTTAATAAGAGTGTCCTCTTTTCAATGAACCAACACGTTTTGAAAAATAACTTTTAGTTTTTGAGAAAGCAATATTTGAAGTTTTGATAAAATTTTCGATGTTGCAATTTTCATCGATAATTTTCAAAATTCGCTATAAAATTTATTTCTTGAAGGATCCTTGTGAAAATATCACCAATTATTAATTAAAGTATCGTCTTTTTAATGCAACAAGTCGATTTGAAAAATCACTTTTAGTTCTTGAGAAATAAATTTTTGAAATAATCGACAATTTGATTCTAATCCTAGATCTAGTGTTAGTTTTAGTGCTAGTGTTAGTCCAGTTTTATTTGTTATTCGACACTAAATCCGTTATATCGAGGTTTTACTGTAATGTCAAATTATATTGACATGTTGGATTTTATGTGGGACAAAGTAAGTAGGTATGTCCTGGTTTCTATGGAAATATATTTTTGTATATTGCATCTTAAGTGAAATTCACTGTATAAGGATACAATAGGGATCCTAAGAGTTATTAGTATCGGCAGTATTACAAGATGGCAGAGTAAGAGTTTTTTGTCGGTAAGATTTAGGTCACTATTTCGTGAAACTAGGGGATAAATGGTTTTTATGATGGAGGATTCCTTGTATATGCAGTTTTTAATGTGGAAAGAGAAGGTTACTCTTTTGTATAGGGTGATATGGTTTCCTGGTTCAGTGGAATTGTGTAATTGTAGATTTTTAGAGTAAACTTTTAATAAGTGTGGAGTAATTACGTCTTCTTGCCGTACACGAGATTTGATTGTTTGAAGTATGATAGGGTTGAGTTGCCTTTAATTTTTATCCTACGAGAAGTAATAGTTTATCCTACGGGCTGAATATAAAGGTTGTAAAAATGTGTTGTCCTCATATTTTACCTCAGCTGGTAAATATTATAAATACATGTATTGTTGATGGGAAGTTTCCTATCGATTGGAAATGGTCGTTGGTAACACCTGTATCAATTCAACCCCGTAATTTCGGACTTACGACCGATCAGCATTCTCCCTGTTTTTGTTAAGGTGTGTGAAAAACTGTTATGGCAACAAATGAATCAATTTGTTTCATGTGAGGATATTTTGCCTCAAGTGCAGTCGGGTTTTAGATCGGGGTTTAGGTGCATTACAGCACTTTTGTGTGTAGTGGACGATATTTTGAGGGTTGCAGCTTTTTGCTAACACAATGGAGTTGGACCTAAGGCATTGAATTTGCTTAGTGAATATGTTGCTGGGCGAGAGCAAGCCGTGAGTCTAGGTGGCAGTAGGTTAGATTTTCTGGCATCTACTTCTGGGTGTTCTCAGGGCTACTGTCACCACTGTTGTTTTCTATTTATGTTAGAAGCATATAAAACCGCTTAAAATACTCCAAATATCACTATTATGCTAATGACAACCAGATTTATATATCGGGTAAGGAAACGGAGATGGATGAGTTATGTGGTCGGCTTGAGAATGATTTGTCGTCGATCGTGGACTATTCCCAGCGACATGGCCTACAAATTAACAGTAGCAAAACCGAGCTTATTGTATTTGGTCCGCGAAGGGTTAGAAATAGAGTAAAGGATAGGATTAAGGTAACACTAAATGGAGATCGTTTAGAGCAGCGGTGTTCAACCTAGGTTCCGCGGAACCCTGGGGTTCCGTCGGCCATCCCCTAGGGTTCCGTGGGCCATGCCCAAATATTTCTTTATATAAGTCAATAAGTCAACCCCTACTTATTCAATAAGTATACTAATTTTAAAAATTCAATATTTTTCATAAAGATGGATAGTTATAAAAATTAAACCGTGCTTATAATTTTAAAATTTCGCGCTGTAAATGTTACGTCACAATCGCTGGAGTCAGCTGATCACTGTCTCGCGTTTGCAAGTTGTAGCTTGTAGCTGCAGTAGCCGCAGTAGTGTAAAGACTGTAAGGCGATACAGGCACTATTGCATTTATTTTGACGTACGTTTTTTGGTTATTGTTATATGAACTACATTGCCAAAGCAAAGGTAAGTGTTTTATAATATTTAAAAATTTCTATTTCAAATTTTTATTCGAAAAATAATTTTTGCCTTTTATCCATGTAAATGTAAATTTACATAGTTGAAAAAAATATAGTAAATCATTTTCGTATAAAACTTCATCTCCTAATTGGTTGTAAGGAGTATATTTTTAAATATTTGCAATCCCTTTGCAGATGGATTTTTGGTTAAAAACGGGAACGTTAAAACGTACTACTGAAAGTCCTTCAACATCTGCAAGTAATGTAAATGACACTACATTGTTAGATGAAGTTCAAGAAGTACCCATCGAAGTACCTATAACAAAGAAAATTAAAATATCTGAAGGTATAAAGACGCGAAAATATGATGAAAATTATTTACAATTTGGATTTACCTGGGTAGGAGATGCAAATGAACCGAATGGCCTTTGTGTAGTGAAAAGGTAATATGTAACAGCAGTTTGAATCCGGCAAAATTAAAGCGTCACCTTGAAACGAACCATGCAAATCTTTGCAACAAAAGTGTTGAATATTTCAAACGTAAAAATGATGAATTGAAAAAGAAAACAAAGACATTTTGTAAATGTGTGCTCTCTGATAACGCGAAATCACTTGAAGCTTCATTCCGCATTAGCTATCGCATTGCAAGAGAAGGAGAGGCTTACACAATTGCCGAAAAATTAATAAAACCCTGCATTAAGGATGTAATATCTTGCAAATTTGGAGAGACTTATCTGGAAGAAGTGAACAGCATTCCATTATCGGACACCACAATTGCAAGACGAATTGAAGAAATGGCATTATTTTGTGAAAATGATTTAATAAATCGTCTGAAAACGTCGAACCATCCTTTTGCATTGCAGTTGGATGAAACCACAGATGTTGCAGGATTAGCTGTGTTAATTGTACTGGTACGCTATGTTTTTAATTCTTCAGTGCAAGAAGATATGCTCTTCTGTAAACCCCTCGTAGGAAGGACGACTGGAGAAGAAATTTTTAAACTGATTAATTTGTACATGGAAAAACATAAAATAAGTTGGAATTTATGCGCGCATATTTGTACTGATGGAGCAAAATCCTTATTAGGTCGCGAAAAAGGAGCAATATCGCGAATTATTCAACTAGCTCCCCATATTAAACATTCCCATTGTTGTCTTCATAGGCATCAATTAGCGGTAAGACGTATCTCGCAAAAACTCAAAGATACGTTGGAAGAAACAGTGCAAATTATAAATTTTATAAAGAAGGAACTAAATTCCAGATTATTTGCTTTGCTATGTGAGGAGCTATCTAGTACGCATAAAACTTTGTTATTGCATGCAGAAGTACGCTGGCTTTCACGTGGTAAAATTTTAACTCGGTTTGTAGAGTTGAAAGATGAAGTCAGATTATTTTTAAATGAACATAATCACAAATATGCAGCAAAATTGAATTGTGAAATATGGTTACAAACCGTATGCTATTTGGCAGATATATTCTCTTTTTTAAATGAATACAATAAATCACTTCAAGGAATTAATATCAACATTATTAAAATGCATGATAAAATCAATTCATTACTACTGAAATTAGATTTATGGGAATCTTACGTTAAATCAAATAACGTGCAATGTTTCCAAATGTTAAACAGTTTTCTAATCGAAAATGAATTAGTCATAAATAATGATGTTCGACAACTGATTGAGGAACATATTATTCAATTAAAACGGACAATACGAATATACTTCCCAGAAACAACAGAATCGTATGAATGGATTAAAGATCCATTTCAATATTACAATAAATCTGGGAATTTAATGTTGAAAGAAAGAGAACAATTAATAGATATATCAACGGATTCAGTTTTGAAATGTGCATTTGATAGAAAAGAAAAATTGTACGCAGAATATCCAGAAATATCAACAAGAGCATTCTAATCGCTCTTAGATTACTGCCTTTCGACGTACAGAAATAGGCTCGATGCAGAAAATGAGATGCGTCTACAAATAACAAATATTTTACCAGATTTTAATATATTATGCAAGGGCAAACAGGCTCACCCCAGCCATTAGCGCATGCAATCTAATTTTGCATTTGTGTTTTATTTTTGTACTTTTATAATAATGAACAATGAAAATATGTATTTTTTACCAATTTACTTGTTTAACATTCTAAAATTCACATAAGTAATAATTTGATATTAATTTTTTCTTAAGGGTTCCGTTGAAATATATATAACTGTAAAGGGGTTCCGCGCCTCAAAATAGTTTGAAGACCACTGGTAAGGAAAAAGAGCTAAAGGAAAAAGTAAAAAAATTTAGAGTTGTGCTAGACGAGGCTTTGAGCTTTCGCGACCATATAAATTTATGTCTAAAATGACTTTTATTCACATCAAAAAAATTATATAACATGAGACATTATCTTTCCCGAAAGTTGAAAGCCATGCTCTGTGATTTCTTGGTCCTGTCCCATTTTAATTATGCTAATGCACTGTACTCTTCGTTCTTGACTTCTCAGCTGCAAGCGAGAGTGCAACGAATACAAAATTCATGTATACCGCTTGATTCTTGGTTTGAGACGGAGAGATCATGTGAGTCATAAACTGGAGGAGCTAATTGGCTTAACATGCAAAATCGAAGAACAATGCATACTACTGTTCTCGTTTATAAAATAATTGCTACGGGTGTGCCTCCTTATCTAACTGATAAAATTCGCTGACGGTCCGATGTACATACACTTAATATTAGATTGAAGGGAGCATTATCACCTCCGTTTCATAAGACAGAACGTTTCTAAAATAGCTACACTTAAGAAATTTTTAAGTTATATAACATGTACATTTTCGGCGCAGGTTTTCATCCATTAGCAATTTCGGTGGACTCACTTAAGTTAGCCATGTTTAAAAACTGTTTCGGGCTCAATTAACAAATTCTTGATTTAGCTAAGAAATAGAAAGTTTGGCTTTGTTTCCGTAATTAAATATGATTTCTATTGCTGTATCCTTGTGCGATCATTACTGGGTCGACTATTGGCGCATGGAAGATCAGCTTTTTTCTGCTGAATGCGCACCATACGGCTGTTCTATTATAATTTCAATTTCAATTTTGTTATCTTTAAGTTCTTGTTACAATTAAGTTTTTTCTTGTATTTGTTTTCATTGGAGCAATAGACTATATATTATTATTATTATTATATAGCCATGGGTTAGTTTGTTGAAGTGGGAGGATATTTGGATAGGCTTAATTTGTGGATGAGGCCATCGATCCATACGGTATAGAATGCATATAGAATACATAGGTCGAAAGCTGATGAGGCGTNTAAGAGTGTCCTCTTTCCAATGAACCAACCCGTTTTGAAAAATAACTTTTAGTTTTTGAGAAAACAATATTTGAAGTTTTAGTAAAATTTTCGATGTTGCAATTTTCATCGATAATTTTCAAAATTCGCTATAAAATTCATTTCTTGAAGGATCCTTGTGGAAATATCACCAATTATTAACTAAAGTATCCTCTTTTTAACGCAACAAGCCGTTTTGAGAAATCACTTTTTGTTCTTGAGAAATAATTTTTTTAAATAATCGGAAATTTTTTTGAATTTTTCAATTTTCGCTGATTAAGTTTTAAAAATTCGTATAAAATCCACTTGTCGGAGTATGAGTATGAAAATATCCCAACGTGTTAATAAGAGTGTCCTCTTTTCAATGAACCAACATATTTTGAAAAATAACTTTTAGTTTTTGAGAAAAATAATATTTGAAGTTTTGATAAAATTTTCGATGTTGCAATTTTCATCGATAATTTTCAAAATTCGCTATAAAATTAATTTCTTGAAGGATCCTTGTGGAAATATCACCAATTATTAATTAAAGTATCCTCTTTTTAATGCAAAAAGCCGTTTTGAAAAATCACTTTTAGTTCTTGAGAAATAAATTTTTGAAATAATCGACAATTTTTTCGAATTTTGCAATTTTCGCCGATTAAGTTTTAAAAATTCGTATAAAATCCACTTCTTGGAATATGAGTATGAAAATTTATCAAAGTGTTAATAAGAGTGTCCTCTTTTCATTGAACTAACACGTTTTGAAAAATAACTTTTAGTTTTTGAGACAACAATATTTGAAGTTTTGATAAAATTTTCGATATTGCAATTTTCATCGATAATTTTCAAAATTCGCTATTAAATTAATTTCTTGAAGGATGCTTGTGGAAATATCACCAATTATTAACTAAAGTATCGTCTTTTTAATGCAACAGGCCGTTTTGAGAAATCACTTTTTGTTCTTGAGAAATAATTTTTTTAAATAATCGGAAATTTTTTTGAATTTTCCAATTTTCGCTGATTAAGTTTTAAAAATTCGTATAAAATCCACTTGTCGGAATATGAGTATGAAAATATCCCAACGTGTTAATAAGAGTGTCCTCTTTTTAATGAATCAACACGTTTTGAAAAATAACGTTTAGTTTTTGAGAAAAATAATATTTGAAGTTTTGAGAAAATTTTCAATGTTGCAATTTTCATCAATAATTTTCAAAATTCGCTATTAAATTAATTTTATTTTTATTTAATATTATTATATTATTTTTTTATTTATTATTATTTTTATTTAACCGGATATCCGGCCGAAGGGGATGCCGAATATCCGGTATCCGGCTTTTCGCAAAAGCACAATCCGTTCCATCACTAATCAGTACTGTAAGATGCGGGGAACACGCCAGTCCTAATTTTGTATTGTATTTAACGTTTATGGAATAACTTTTCTTGTGTTCCATAGATCTTGTGCCAGATCGCGTCTTGTGTTGGGTCACATCATGTTGAAGTGACCAGCAATAGTCGGCCAGGATAGATGTCGACCACTTCCCTGATACCGTCTTTCCATTTCTTTTATATCCTGATGGAACCGGTCTCCTTTTTCTTCGCTAACATCACCTAAATTGTCAGAAAACCAATGTAAATAGAAGTGCTAATATTGCAACTTCACGCACATGTTACAACCTAATTTTTTCAAGTTTTTTAGCATCACAGCGACTAGTATCTTATAATTCGCAACTTTACTATTGTCTAAGAAACCGTCATATTTTCAAAATAAGTCGTTTTCATTAATTCTCGAATCTGTGGCTCAACAGATTTTTATTTTGGCATCACTCAAGTTGGAATATTAATCTACAAGGCACTTAAAACAAGCACCACTGTTATTAAGCCCCTTTACGAACTGGTTCATTATTCCTAATTTGATATGAAGGTTTTTTTTCGCATTAATCAATAGATCTTTGAGAATGTTTGTCTCTCCCTCTTCGAGGCAAGAACGAATAGGCCAATTCTTTTTACCATAGTACTGTTCCCTATCTCTGCTATCCCATCAATATATAAAACATGAATATTTCGTTCGACTCGACTGTTGTCCAAAAAGCATGCCATTAATTTTCAAATTTCCACATATATTCTATTTGTGCTGTTTATATTTAATAGCTTCAACAACAGTTTTAACATTGTCGTATGTTATGCAACTAAACTGCTCTCAAACTTCACTTACAATTAGAGAAATCAATAAACAACCTCCAATTGACAGGATCATATAGCAGTCCACATTTTTGTACGAATGCACTGACATCATTTCAATAAACAATGCTGCCACCTTCAGAGAACAACTCAATAAATGATTCCTCTCGATGTCTATACCAAGAGCAGGTAGTTCTAAAAGCAAGGAGATTTCTCTCTTTTAGTCGCGAACCTAGCTGTTCAGATTTATCTTTAGGTAAACCTAAATCCCTGACCAAATCATTTAGTGCAGCCTGATTATATAGAACCGGCAGAAAATTAGAATCATCAAAATCAAGTGAATGAGTCTTCAGATTCGCGAAGATCAACTAAAAACTAATTCCAAAAGTAGCCAAAAAAGCTATTTTTCTTGTACATAACCTAAGATATCTCAAAATTCTAACGCGATGGTCCAATTTTGAGCTTGGATTATGATTCTATGCAGAAAATTACTTCGGAAATGACTTACTTCAACAATAAACCCTTACAGATTAGTGTTATTAACATAATGAATCAATCTCATTTAGTTTTTAAGATACAATATCATGAATATATATGATAATGAATATAATTTTATATATTTATGTGGGACGTTAAACATTATGCGGCATCATAAACAACACAAACGTTAAAACCTTGACTATTAGAAAACAACTATTTAACCTTTGACGTATAGTTTTTATTTTAAATACACCTATCTAATCTCACAACACTACAATTTTCATATAACTTACAATTAGTAACGAATTGAAAATGGATAAAGTTCTCGTTCGAATAAAATATGGGACTTTACGCGGTAAACTACAAAAAAATTACAAAAACGGAACGTTTTATAGCTTTTTCGGAATTCCCTATGCAACACCACCAATTGGAAAGTTAAGATTCAAGGTAAATTTATTATTTATAAACCGGTATAAACTATTAGTTTGTACAGTTTAGATAGTATGTGTTAGTTTGGTTGCATATCTTTACGAATTTAAAAGGTTTTGATTTTTAGCCTCCTCAACCAATTAAACCATGGCAAGGAATTTTGGATACAACAAACGAAAAAGAAGGATGTTTCGCACCGAATATTTATACCGGCAAATTTGAAGGTACTGAAGATTGTCTCCATTTAAACGTTTATACTCCGGAGGTGCATAAAAATAAACAAATTTAGGTTAAATTTAAACAAATTCGTTTTAGGTTAATAACAAAAACATAAAATTAAAACCGGTTATAGTTTTTATCCACGGTGGTGGTTTCTTAGTAGGAAGCACAAAAACTGAAATTCATGGTCCAGACTTTTTATTAACTGAAGATATAGTTCTCGTATTAATTTCTTATAGATTAGGAGCTTTAGGTATTTGATTCATTTAAAAAAAAATAAAACAAAATTATTGGCATTTCTTTATAGGTTGGTCACGTCTTGAAGATGGTTCCTTAGGAATCCCAGGTAATCAAGGACTTCGCGACGTAATCATGGGATTAAATTGGGTTAAACAAAACATCGAATCATTTTCGGGTGATCCAAATAACATAACATTATTCGGGGAAAGTGCAGGAGGTGTAATTGCCCATTACCTTTCCTTTTTATCATCGTGCAAAGGACTTTTTCACAAAATAATTCTTCACAGTGGTTCAGTTCTTTTAACTTGGTCTTATGGCCAAAATGATTCAATGAAACAATTAGCTAAGAAATTAGGATGTTCTTCAGATAACGATAAAGATATATTGGAATTTTTACAAAACCAACCGGTGCAAAAAATTCTTGAAGGTCAAATGATGATTAAAGTTGGGATGAAAGCGATGATGTTAAGACAATTTTTTCCTGTTATTGAAAATGATGATAATATAGAAGAAAAATTAACATTTGAAGATTATGGGGAACGTATAAATAAAGGTGAATACATAAAAGTTCCGATGATTATTGGATATATGGAAGACGAAGGATTATATTATGATTATATAATAAGGAAAGAATTAAAACGCAGTGAAAATCCAATATTAATAAGGGATTTTGAAGATTTAGTTCCTTTAAAATTTAAAAAAGGAAGTGAAGATTCGTTAAAAATCGCCGAAAACGTAAAAAAGTTTTATTTCAACGGAAAAAATCCAACATTAAGCGATAGAAAACAATTCTATAAATTATTTAAAGATAATCGTTTCAGTTTTTTAATGCAAGAAACCGCCAGAAGACATTTTGAAACATCAGGAAACCCGATTTATTTTTTTAAATTCGCCTTCGATGGAAAGTTAAACCTTTATAAAAAATTACAAGGAATTAATTATCACGGGGCTACTCATGCCGATGAATTATGTTATATGTTTAAAATGTCCAAAAATCCGCCGGTTGAAGAAAACAGCTTTGAAGAAAGAACGATTCAAAGAATGGTAAAGTTATGGACGAATTTTGCTAAGAGCGGAAATCCGAATAATATTGAAGGCGAAAACGATTTGATTGATGTTGAATGGAAACCAATCGAAAAGAATAAACTCCATTTTCTTAATATTGGAGATGAATTAACGGTTGGGGTTAATCCTGATAAAGAAGGAGCTAAGTTTTGGGGTGAAATGTTTACTATGAATTCGAAATTGTAATTTATTTTTTTATTATAAATGAATGTTAAAAAATGCATAGTGTTGTAATTTTTTATTTTCAATTTATTGTATTTAATCCACCATCATTAAGTTTTCACCTGAAGGCAGTCTTTCTAACACGCTTTGAAAAAAAAAATCCCTCAGGGGACATTCAGGAGGAAGACCGATATTTCAAATCGAATTAGCTATGTTACTCCCTCGCTTTGGAAAATTATCTGACGATTATTTTTTTAGGGATAAACCGACGTAGAGTTTTGTTTCACCGTAAATGATATTTTTAAACAACCCATAGTTGAAATAGGACTCAATTTAATACCGCCAGGGGTGTCCTATACGGATAAAAAGGCGTTGTGGGACGCTGTGGTTAAACTATCAGATATTGTAAATTCTACGGAACATGCTTCAGCTGCTCTGCTCAAGATTTGAACAAACCCATCACTACTTCAGAGAGACTGAGGAATTCTGAACAAAAATTGTATTTCTTAATCGACAGAGATACTAATATACATGATGCTATAACTGGAATGTTAAAAACTGGTAAAAAAGACTGTACGTGTTGAATCGGGAAGGTGATGATTACCAAGTTCAAGCATTATGCGTTTTAGACTTTTATATTCACGTTACTAGACAGAAAATGGGTTTGGGGAAGGTGCATATGTTGACAGAAGAAAAGTCGAACCGGCAAAATTGGTTATTAATAGACCAAGCGATAAATTTTTGGGATTTTTAAACAAACATTACGCGTTGGATAATCCTGTTCGGCAAATGAATAATTTCGTTGGATTTTTCCCGAACCCGTTGAAGTCAAAGGGGACAACTCAAAAGTGGCTGCAACTAAATCTAACCAGGCCGCTAACGGGTTACAAACCAATTTTTCAACACCATACGAAAGATTCCAAGACTACCTTGTAAGATAATTCATAACCAGTCACCGATTTTCCATCAGGCTCAAGAACCGACTGGAACAAATCTTTGTATAAAACTGTGCCTAACAGATGTAACAACAACAATTGCAACAGCAGCAAATGCACCAATTATAATCTCCTCAACAAATACAACAAACGTATAATGATGAACAAGTTTCACCTAAATGAAGTGGGTGTATTTTTGAAATACTTTTACACAGAGAGAAATATATTCTTGAACGAAGATTATTACTCTTGGCTCAAACTTATCATATTCTTATATATCCACAAGAAGATCATTTTGTTGAGTGAAGAAAAACCACATATTCTCAAAGCAAGTATACAAATATTCTTTATTCTCAAGAAAACGAATTCTTAGTAAAATAAATCAATAATCTTGAAAAAGAGTATCTTAGTGTTACGTCAACAACCCCATTTTCGTATCGAGAATAAATTTCTTAAGACAAGAATAATGTATCTTTCTTTTTAGAAAAACTTATTCATGTAACAACAATCTTGTATAATTCTTCATTTGAGTATTATAAATTATTGACGCAGGAATGGATTTTTTGATACAAAAAATTGATATTCTTCGATGCTAAGAATATGACATACTTCATTCGATAATATTTCTATTCTTAAAACAAAAAAATATATTTTTTTTAAGAATATCTTATACTTGTTTCTAAGAAATACATTCAAGAATCAATTTTTCTTGAGAGTCAAGAATAATTTCCCTCAGTGTACGTTTTCTTTTTTTTTGCGATTGCAAGGATTTTTTGTATTTCTTGTATCACAGTTATTTAATATTTATAGATATAGGCACACAATAACTTCACTTTCGTGTCGCTTGCGATTTCGCTTAACACTGTTAATAAGTTTTATTGTTTACAATAACCTGTTTACAATTTTTACATCATTGTACATCATTATCCACACAAAACCCCTATTCTTTGTCTTCTTCATCCCTTTGTCTCCTCACCACCATAACCCTTCTCATCCATCGTTTCCCCTCTCTCCCCTCTCCCAAAATCTGCCCACGGTCCATCCTCCCTCAACTCACTGCACCCATTCAACATATGTTCCAACGTTTCCCATTCCTCCCTGCACAGGCTACACCACCTCTCCTCATCAGCCATCCAGTATCTGTTAGCTCTCTTCTCGTTTCCACAACGGAACCTAGCCACCAACTTCTTCCCTTCCTCATCTCCTTTCATTAGCAAGTATCTAGGCAGCCCCTCCGTAATTATGTCCCTATACCTTTCGTTATACCTTCCCTCTTTTATTTATGTCCTTCAAGCCGCTCTCCAGGCGCTGCAAGCCGTGGAAACGGTGTCGGCTCTGGTTAATGATTGTAAGAGAACATTAAACAAACTGAGTTGTGATAACAGAGTCTCTCTGATCTGGGTCCCGGGTCACTCTGGGGTTGCTGGCAATGAAGCGGCAGATAAGCTAGCACGAGATGGCATCGCTGAAGCGTTTGTGGGGCCGGAACCAGCAGTTGGTGTATCATTTGCGATGGCCAAATATAGGATTGGACTGTGGGCTGAAGAGAGACTTCGCCTACTGTGGACCAGTTCTCCTGGAATGAGACATGCTAAGGTGTTTATTAACATCGGCACTGTCAAACCCGGAAATATTTTAGGACTTGCCCGTAGTAGCATAAAAGTTCTAATGGATGTTTTTACTGGGCACTGCCGATTAAAAGCACACGTCAACTTGTTGGGTTTAGCCGACGATGTTGAATGCCGAATGTTTTATGCCACTGCCCTGCCGTTAACCGTATCAGATTCTCGATTTTTGGGTCGCAGTTTATCTCCTCAAGGGATCTGAATGACCTTTCGCCGAGCAAGGTATTAATGTTCGTTAAGAGCATTGGACTGCACGGTGAAATTTGATAACGATATCTATCGGGGTATAATAGATCCGCAGGGTCGCGGTGCAAGGTTGGTCCGCCTACCCGATATGTAGTCAATGTAATGTAATGTAATGTCCTTCTTTCCTGGCTCTGCACATCTCAGTCTCTATCTCTTAACTCCCTCCACATCTCCCTACCCACCCTTCGTCTACTATTTATCTCAGTAACCGAATAGCCCACTCTTTTAAAATAGTTGTCTCTGTCTCCTTTCCTATATCTGACCATTCCCTCTCTAATTTCCCTCCAACACTCCCCCAAGATCCCGCAGTTTGGCCTCCCTTCTATTCTTTCTTCATATTTCACTGCCCTCCTGCCCGCCTCCACTCTTCCCTCACTATATACCCCGGTATTTCTCTCGCCATCCCAAGCACCCATCTCCAATG